GTTGTGTGTTGATTTTACTAAGTGAAGTCAGACATAGAGTATGTCTGGAAGGGAGAAAGCTGCTGTGATAAAGCAGAGACTCACCAGGAGCATCTCTAGTGCTTTCTGCATGTGAAAGACTGACATAAACCAGCAACCTGGTGTCCTCAGTGCCCCACAGGGCAGGCTGGGGAGCAGCTAAAATAACTGCTGAGAGTGCAGTGCTCCTGTTTCAGCCCCTGTGCACAAATGGCCCTTGGGTTCTGCTCTCTCCACAGAATCCCAGAATGGTTTGGGTTGGAAGGGAGCATGAATCTCATCTCATCCCACCCCCTGCCATGGACCCCTGTCCACCAGCCCAGGTTGCTCCAAGCCCCATCCAACCTGGCCTGGAACACTCCCAGGGATGGAACAGCCACAGCTTCTCTGGGCAACCTGTGCCAGTGCCTCAGCACCTCACAGGGAAGAATTTCTTCCCAATATCCAATCTAAACCTTCTCTCAGTCAGCTTAGGCCATTTCTCCATCTCCAAACACTGCGTGCCTTTGTCCAGGTCCCTCTCCAACCTTCTTGTAACCCGTTTTAGGAACTGGAAGGTGCTCTAAGGTCTCATTGGAGCCTTCTTTTCTCTAGGCATCTCAGGGGTCACCTCCTGATCTCTTTTCTTTCTCCCACAGCTATTTCTCGCCCTCCTCCTCCAGCCACTCCCAATGGGCAGCACAACAGCAGTGGTACAGGGGAGTTTCTGTCTGAGCCAGTCACAACATACACACTTGACCCTGGGCTGGAGCCTGTGGGAAATGAGACTCTTCGTTGCACGACAGAGAACGGGGTCGATGGCATCTGGAGTGGGTTTCCTCCTGAGTGCAGGGGTGAGCACTGCTGGGTGATCATCCTGCTCTCCAGTACTTTTTTCTTGCTGTGCAAGATAAGCACTCCTAGTTCCCTTCTCTCAGAAAGGAAAGGACCACAGTGTGGACAGGTATTCCCTAGGGTTTGTTTTCAGGGGAGCAGCAGCCAGACTGTGCTTTGCAAGGTGCCAAGGAACACTGTGGGCACAGCTGGACATGGGTTTACATTTCCCCTTCAAGAGGAACAGGCAGCACTTCAATTAACAATCATGGAATCATAGAATCATAGAATTTAGGGGTTGGGATGGAGCTTACAGATCATCTAGTCCCTGGGCAGGGACACCTCCTCACTAGATCAGGTTGCTCAAGGCTCATCCAGCCTGGAATGAACACCACCAGGGCTGGGGCAGTCACAATATCCCTGGGCAACCTGTGCCAGTGTCTCACCACCCTTAGAGCAAAACCCTTTTTTCTCACATCCAACCTAGACTTTCCTTCCTTAGTTTGAACCCATTCCCCCTTGTCCTGTCACTGCAGTTCTTAACAGAGTCCCTCTCCAGCTCCTTGTAGGCCCCCAAACAATGTGTAAAGTGTATCAGTAACTGGAAAGCTGATGGAATAAACCTCAGAATGGATTTATATCTAACATCCAACAACCCCCAGGCCATAAAGCCAAGTTGGGCCAGCAGACTCCCCTCTGTCCATAAGGCTTGGAGTGGCACCAAGAGCTCTCTGTGGGCCACAGATGCCCAAACCACCTGCCCATGCAACATTTATTCCTCAGTGAATCATTATATATAAATTTAGGAGCACATAAAATAGCATTTTGAATGCTTTTTCTTTTTTTCCCCCCTCCTTAGTTCACACTACAGCAGCAACAAACCAAACTGAACTCTCAGGAGAGAATTATTACTGGCTGGGTAAGAGCTCAGTTGCTTAAGAGTCTTGTTAATTGCTGTAATTGCACCACGTTTTGGGCTTCATTTTTTTAACATCCTTTTCATTATTCTCTTCTCTAGCAGGTATCCTCATCCCTGTTTGCATTGGTGAGTAGCTTAAAATTGAAAATACACTTTCCTAACCCAGAGCTGTTACTTGCTGTTGAGTAGCCAGAGCCAGTGGGTTTTCTTCATTCCACTCCCCCAGTCCTGAGTGTCTCTGGGCAGGGTTTGGGGGTTTCCCTGCTGTTGGGGGATGCAGCAGTGGTTCCTGTGCTCTGTGTTCAGAGACATGAGAGAGGTTTTGCATCAGTGTGGCTGATGCACCTCAAGGGGTGACAGTCCCAGCACAGAGAGTTTTGCTGCCCAAACTGCAGTATTTCCTTTACATTGCACACCAGATTTGCTTAGGTTTGGGTTGGGGTTTTTTATCCTTCTTTGTTATTTCCCCCAGTGCCCCTTGTAATTCTTTGCTTCATCAAGAGATGGAAAGACAATGAAAACCAGTAAGTGACACTAAGCTGCCCCTTGTAAATTGTAACTTTCCCTAGAGGTAACTGGATATTCCCTTCCAAGCTCTACACCTTCAGTACATATTTGCATGGTTAGTGCTATCTTTCCATGTTGCTGATTTGCTTTTTATTCTACAAATTTTCTCCTTTCTGTCTCTTCAGCTCTTACAGCATGAATTTAAAAAAGCAGAAGACGAAGGGAAGGGATGCACCGATGCACCTAAAGATAACAGCTGATGAGAAGCCATGGAACTCCTATTTTTGGTGAGTTTGCTAGTTGATCTGCCCAAAAAAGCTTGTGCCACTCTTCTAACTATACCCATGGGTCTCACAGGTGCTGACCACACCTGCACAGCACATCTTCATGCAGTTTTTGACTCTCAAGTGCCAACACCTCCGCAATGAACGCGCTGAGAGGCACCAGCTGCTTCATGGGAGGGTTTGGGTTTGCTGGCTGCTCTCAGAGCTTGTCCAGAGGGATCCTTCACGTCTCTCTCATCCACAGCCACAAAAGGAGTTGCCATGTGTGTCCCACCTGTGAAGAACAGTTGCATGCTGCCCTGGCCCCTCACGCTGGGCCCACGCGCCGCGGCTGTGCCACCTGTGAGGACTGGCTGAGCACTCAGCATGGCAAACCACTCATCTACTCAGTCCCCAGCATCAGTGATGGGGAGAGCCAAGACCCAGTAGGCATCAGGTACCACCAGGCTCTTGCTTCTGCTCTCCTTGCGTGGGTCTATGGAAAGCAAAACAAGGGGAAAGCATCTCCACATGGATAGAGCAGGTGTGGCAGTTTGAATTCCTTTGGTTCCTTTTAAGTCCAGTTTTAGCAGGAGAAAGTATTTGATATTTAGAAAAAAGTGGCTGTGTTGTGCAGGAAAGCCACACATTCAGGTGGACTGAGGTTGTCTTCTCTCTCTGTCTGTGTTCAGCTCTCCTGCCAAAGCTCTGGATGTGCCGAGGGGTGACAGCACAGGAGAACTTGGTCCACAGTGGAGCAAGACAGAGCAGCCCATGGACCACGAAAGGTCTGTCTTCCACTTAAAAATACACAGATGCCATGGTGGGCTTGGATAAAAAAATCAGAGTAGAGTAGATCTGTTCTTCTCATAGAACCATAGAATGGTTTGTGTTGGAAAGGACCTTACAGATCATCTCATCCTATCCCTGCCATGGGCAGGGACACCTTCCACTAGCCCAGGTTGTTCCAAGCCCTGTCCAACCTGGGCTGGAATGCATGTCCTCAATGGTGTTTCCCCACAGGAACCACCACATCTGTCCCATCTGTGAGCACTGGCTCCGTGCCCACCTGGGACAGTGTGATTGCCAAGCTGTGGTGCCCACGGAGCAGCAGCACGAGGGGTGAGTCAGAGTGCCTAGTGCAAGCAGCTCCTCTCAGCAGCAGCACCGTGCTGGGCACCCAGCACCCTCAAAACTCAGAGTTCAGTGCTTAAATGAGAAGTCAAAAGCGATGGAGGTGTGTGAATGCTGCTGGAACTTGCTCCTAGCTCTGTGTCAGGATGGAAATGTGGTGCCTGCTTGCAAGCAAAGGGAGGTGAAACTGGGGTGAGGTTTATTTGCATGATGCTTGTGCAGTTTCCTTGGGCATCTCTGGATCAGCTTGTGCTCCTCAGCTCTGCTCCTCTGGCTCAGCCTCATGACTTCTTTGGAGCTCTGGTTTTGGTTAAGCAGCAAAGAGCCTGGGTACTATGAGGGACTCTGCAGTGTGAGCTTTCTGTTCACCTGCTGCCCAGTGCTTTTCCCATGGTTTTTTTTTGTTTGGGGCACAGCAGCAACGAAGTGGCCAAGGTAATGCTGTTTGCTCAGTTTATCTTTTGACACTTGGCCACGTGTCTCTAGCAGGCTCACAAAGCTTCCTTAACAAAGTCATTGTTGACAAAGCCAAATTCAAATAAATGTGCTTAAAATGAACATGGTTTGAGGTGTGCATCTGCTTGCTTCAGCTTTAGTTGTGTCCTTTTTACTGCACTTTTTCCCTCACTTATTTCCCACTGTCCTGCCAATGCCTGTTCCTCTGGCTCTTAGCCCTAACCCTACAGGAGCTATTTCAGTTCTGCATTCATGAATCACCACTTACTTGAGTCTAAAATATTAGTATCTTTGAAACTGGTAAGGAAACCAGCTTTTGTGGGTGCTGGAGCCTGTGCAGTGTGGCTTGGCAGGGAGCAGTTTGTCTGATCCTGCTGGGACTCACCCTTGTCTCTCTCTCTCTCTCCACAGCCCACGGGGTCCTGTCTGCCCTCCCTGCACTGACCAGCTCCACCTCTCCCTCATCCACAGTGACACAGGGAGCAGCCCTGTGTGTCCCCTGGCCAGAGAAGGGTCCCTGGCTCACCTGGTCCCTCAGCACACCCCAAGCTGCCACATCTGCCCTGTCTGTGCAGTGCCCACCCATGCACACCTGTGCCAGCCCAGGCACCTGTCGGTAGGGACGTGTGTGGGGACACCCCAAAAAATGCCCTTAGGGTTGCCAGGGCCAAGGTGCCACAAACCTGTTGTTCCTCCCGAAGCCAATGGGCTCCCCCTGACTAACTGCTGGTTTCCCTGTTGCAGGATGAATCCAGTGGCCTCAGCAGCACGAGGCTGGTTGAAGAGATGGGGAGTTCAGACACTAATCCCTGGCACTGCCAGGGGTGAAGTTCTCAGTGCAATAAGGCAACCTGAAGTCAAGGTCTGACTTCACCATCAGTGATTTCTGCCTAAAGAAGCAGGAAACTCCCACATACTGCAAACCCAGCTCCATGTTGGTCTGATACCTATTTTTTTTGTTTAATTTTTTGGTCTGGAAAAACTCTTTTTGCAGCTCCGTAAACGTTTGTTTCCACTAGGAAAATAATTTCCCAGTAAACACGCTCTTTGCACCATCTTAGAAAATTTCCTTGTATTTTTCAACTGCTTTTTTTTAACCAAGGTTCCTTCCCTAGTGTGTGTGAAAATGACAGTATTTATAGCAAAACTGTTTTGTAAATAAAAGGAATATAAACCAAGCAATCCTGGTGTCCTGGCTTGGGGGGGGGGGGTTTATTTTATAGTTACTAGTCAAACCTTTTTCTGGAGTGCTTTAAATGGTTTTGCAGACTGATTCCTTGCCAGGTGTAATCAGGGTCACTAATTGCTTCTGCTCAAGTGATTGCTGCTGTTGCTCTGGTGTCCATAGCAGCACTCAGCCTTTCCCAGAAATTGTGATAACGGAGGCACCGCTGGAGCTGAGCCTGTGTCCACCCTGGGTGGCACCTGGGCCCTGCCAGGCAGGTGTGTGCTCCTCCCCAGCTGTAATCTTCCCTCAGTGAACTCCAAGTATTCCTGCACTGGAATATATATATATATATTCCATTATATTCTCTCCCCTCCAAAGAAACCAGGCTGCATCTCCAGCAGGGTGTTCAGAGGATGAAACTAAGTGCTCCACACGCAGCTTGTGCTCCTTGGTTTATTTGATAGGGGAAGAAACTCATGATAAAGCAGGAGGTGTGAAATTTGTCTTTCTGCTTTATCTGTGTTTGCCAAGAGATGGAATTTGTGGGTGTTCTGGTAATAGACGTGGAGTGCCACAGGGAGCACAAAAGTGCCACGCTCATACCTGATTCTGCTATTGTGTTTGTTATCGTGTTGGGGCCCAGCATTTTTCCATGGCCTTGTGCTGATAGGAGCAATCCTGCTTTGAGCAGAGGGAGAGGCAATAGCCACCTAGGCACCTGCACTGCCCTGTGCCCTGGCTGACATCCCTTGCTGTCCCCTCTTGGAGGCAGCAGGGGCTGTTCAGGGCTGCTAGGTGGTACCCCCAGTGTGCCCTAGACCTCACTCGGTGTGGACAGGGTGAGCTGAAATGAAGAGCTGATATAGGTGTGGTGTAACACAGAAAGTGCTTTTTGAGGGAAAGCCTGGGGTGACCTCAGGGCCAAGGGTTGGGTGCCCAAGGTTTGCAAGGCAGACACTCCCACGTGTTTACAGCACTGATTAGGGTAAACCAAACATGTTGTATGTTGCTTTACTTATCCTGAAGGTAAACTCCTTCCCCAGCACTGGATGGGGCAGGAGAGGTTGGAGGTGGGAGATGGGGCATGGGAATCCTGATCCAGTGCCAGGTGCCTCTGGTTCGCTGTTCCTCGTTTGCTAATTGGCATCATTTCCTACTTGGGAAAATATAAAGCAGCTGTGCCATGGGAATTAGTGAGGGAGTTGCTGTGTCTGCTAACCAGTGTGGGGGACTCTGCCTGCAGCCCTGGGGAGTTTAGTGGAGCTGAAGCCTCTGTTTCCCTTAGTAGCTAGAGAAAAAACTCCTTGTGGGATAGGAATCTGTGGCTGACTCAGCTTACCTACCCCAGGAAGGGTCGTGCTCCACATCCCTGTGCACCAGCCCTGGCCATGGCACTGTGCTGGCTCTGTGTGATGCTGCTGGCACTGCCTGGTGCCTGGGGTGAGCAGAGCTGGGGGGAGAGGGGCTGCGTGGGGATGGGGCTCCGTGGGGATCAGGGATGGGGAAGGGCTCAGAGAGCCTCTCTGCTATCTCTGTCCCACCTGCAGGTGCCTGCCAGCAGCCACCAAAGTTTGCCTTTGCGGAGCTCGTCACACCCGTCCAGGAATCCTACGACGTATGGACCGAGGTGGCATACAAGTGCAACACGGGGTATGTGTTGGCTGGGGGCAAGAGCCCCGTGCTCATCTGCCTCCCTGTCTCCACCTGGTCAATGAATCCTGATTTCTGCATTGGTGAGTTCCCCCCTGGCGGGACTGGAGTGGGGCACATCCCCTGCAGCTCCCCAAACCTCTTCACAGCTCAGCCCAGCTGAGAAGGATGCTCTCTGTCGCTGTTTTGGGGCAGCTGAGAACAAGTTCTCACCCTCTGTGCCTTCTCAGGGCTCCCCTTGGCTTAGAAATGTTCATCTCTGGGAGATGATCTCTGCCATTTTTGATTACTGTACCAATACTGGTACAGTATTTGCACAGAAACCAGGGACAGTGTGGAGGAGCCCATGGAAATCTGTTGTCCCTGTCTGATGCACCTGTGCTGCCCTTGGGTGGTTGGTGGGTCTCTCCCATCCTCTTCATGCTGTTTCTCCTGATGCCATGGGCTCTATATCAGTTTCCTTTCTCAGAAAGCACATAAACCTGAGCTTTTTCTAACTTTAGCTTGATCTGTGCTGTGATTTGCTTCTTCATTTGCATTTTAACTTTCAGTTTCTCAGAAATAAATGCAGATTTTGTATCGTGCAAGTGCTGGTACTTGCTCTGAGGGCAGTCAGGTGCCTGATAAATGGTGCAATAGTCTGTAATGACACTGAAAAGCAGCTATCAGCCTAAAGAATAAAGCTAATGCTGAGCACTTGCACCACCAGGAAAGTCATGTGGGCAACCACCTATTAAGAATGGCAACTACCACTACAAGACCAACCTGAGGCTTGGGGCGACAGTAACCTACACCTGTAACCCTGGGTAAGCATCAGCCCAAGCTCCTGGGGAGTCTGAGCTGGGTGACAGCACCCATGGGAGACTCTGAGGCTTTGAACAGCTCAGGGCTGGGGTCAGGCTCTTCTCCTGCTCTTGCTGTCAGAACATATTATCTTCTGGGCCTGAGAGTAGGGATTTTGTAGACTGCAAAGCAGCTAAAAATCAAAGAATTTTGTTCCTTTCCAGTTGCTGCCTGTTATTAATTCAGCATTTGTTGCTGAGAAGGGTCTGGCTGCCTATGTCTTAGCAAAGGGCTTGGGGAAAAGAGGGCTGAGGTGTCCTGGGAATGCTGGGAGTGGGGTGAGAGGGAAGGAGAGTGGTTCAGAGATATCAGTGACAACGGGCTCTGCTCAGAAAGCAACTTGCAATTTGGATCAGATGAGGCTGAATGGACTCAGGGTGTGATGTGGTGGGATGAGGTCTTGCTCGTGAGCTTGTACCCACCCACTGCAAGTATTAAGTTTCCTCTAGCTGTGTTATATTGCATTTCTGGTGGTGTTGAGAAAATAGTTTTTCATAGCAGGGCTAGCTGATTATACCCTAGGGTTCAGCTCCTCCAGAGAACACCATTAGAAACTGTACAACTTTCTGAATTCCTATTTTTCACCAAGGGATTTAACCTCTCCTTTTCTCAGGTATGTGCTGGTTGGGCAACCAAGTGCAGAGTGTGTGCTTACTGGTGATAACGTCCATTGGGATAGCATTCCATCCTGTGAGAGTAAGCAGACCTTAACTGTTAGGTCTACATCTCTTCCTCAAAGCTTTGCAATGGATCTGTTAGTTTGGGGATGGGCCTGACTGGCAGCTGCTGAGAGTTTTGATGGTTTGCTGCTAGAATAGGTATTCTGGCCTCCTTGTCAGCATAACAAAGGCAGGAAATGCCTTCATTGTAGGTGAGGGGCCCAAACTGCCTGCAGAGACCAAGTTCACTGCCCCCAGAATGTCTCTACTGTGCTGTCTGCTCTTGGACTCTTTAGCTGTTTTGCCACTGATCCATTAAGAAAAACCTCTGGAAAACATTCAGACTCAAAAGGCACATTGGGTTGAGCTGATGGTTTCTGGGCTGCTTCCCTGACTCTTTTCTTTTTGCCTTGTTTTGTTTTGTTTGGGTTGAGCTTTTTGTTTTAGTAGCTCAACTTTGGGTTCAAGTTGAAGGAGGGGAAGTTTAGGTTAGATATTAGAATTTTTTCCCTGTGAGGGTGGTGAGACACTGGCACAGGTTGCCCAGGGATGTGGTGGCTGCCCCAGCCCTGGTGGTGTTCAATCCAGGCTGGATGAGCCTTGAGCAACCTGATCTAGTGAGGAGGTGTCCCTGCTCAGGGCAGGGGTTGGGACTGGATGATCTCTAAGGTCCATTCCAACCCTTAAATTCTGTGATTCTAAACCTACTTTTCACTTCTGATGGAAATATTCTTTCTGTTTCCTTCCCATGCTCCCAGTTGTTCTCTGTCCACCACCTCCTGCAATCAAGAATGGGCAGCTCCTCAATGGGGGCAAAGAGTTCAGCTTTGGCATGTCTGCAAGCTACAGCTGTGACAAAAATTATACTCTTGTTGGAGATGCCAATATTTACTGTACAATGGATAGTAATCACAAGGTAAACTGGAGCACTCCAATTCCTGAATGCAGAGGTAAATCTTGGCTTTCTCTCCTCGTGCTTTCCACTTTCTCATCCCTCCTCCAATCTGTACCTTCCCAATGGGCTGCCAAACATGAGAAGGTTGATTGGAGCTAAAAGGGTTCCCAGGAAGCTTAAAGGCTGCCAGGCTGTGGGCAGAGGCAGGGATTGGTTTAATGGGTTCTTCGGGCTGCAGAAAGCTTTCCTCTCCCTGCCCACACTCAGGGCTTCTTGTCAATGAAAAGTGAACCTCTCGTGCAGTTTCTTAGTGATGTCTCTGAGTAGTTGCACTCCACTGGGGACCTGCCTCTCTCCAAGTGAAAGGACAGCAGTTCTGATCTAGTAGGTGGCATCCCTGCCCATGGCAGGGAGTTGGAACTAGAAGATCCTTAAGGTCCCTTCCAACCCAAATCATTCATTTGTTCCGCGATTCTTTCAGAAAGCTTCTCATGTAACTCCTCTGCTGTCACTGCAGGGCTTCTTCTTCTAACAAATAGTCTTATCTTCACTTCCAGTGATCGAGTGTGAAAATCCAGTTGTGCAAAATGGGATAATATCATCTGGTGGTGGCACTCAGCACGTGTTTAACAGCACAGTGACCTTCAGTTGCAATTCTGGCTATATAATCAATGGTAGTGAAACAGTCACCTGTGAAGCAGATGGTACCTGGCATCCAGCTCTGCCAACATGTGATCAAACCAGTGAGTACAACCAAATTTATTCTCTTCAGTAATTGCAATGGAGCAGGTGTAAGAGCTGCTGAGCAGGTTGGCTTTGAACCCTGTGCACTTGTAGCCATGCCCTGGCAGAGCAGGAGGGTTTGAGTCCTCAGCGTGGCAGCCCATGCCTGAAGCTACTGATTTCTGAACAACAAATCATCCAAAAGTTCACTGAGAGACACAATTGCCTTCTACA